GATCCACAAAACCAGTGCACTGCTGTTCGTTTTCTTTTCCAACAGTGAGTTCTTTCCCAAGAGTGAGTGAACTACAGTTCACTCTATTGGTTTGCTTAGATGTTTGTGTTTTTTGGTGGAAATAAAATGATAGAAAAAGGAAGAATCATACAGATTTTTCATTAGGTGAGTAAAAGAAAATATGTTTTTGTCCAAGATGTACTGGAATATCAGCCTTTTCCATGTGCTTAAAGAGAATTTAAAAATTGCATAACTTTTTAAAGATCACCATCTATATTTGCATAAGCTCTGCAGACATTCATGTGAAATACAAGAATGAAAACACTGCGGTCTTCAGAGTACGTAGAAATTATTTTTAATTTATCCTTCCAGGAATACTAGCTACAGAGACTTGATTGCTTAGCAAGCAGTGCATTTAAACCATCTGAGGACAGAAGCATGACCTTTATGTGACCAAAGTCAGCTAAGCAGTATACCTTTAATACTGGATTGAAAGCACCCTAACAAGTATAGAAGCCATTATTTTTCAATTCTTCAGAAGTAAAGAAAATAAATTCTTCCATTCTGGAGACCCCAGAACTTTTTTTACTTCTTACTTCTACTGAATTTACCTATCTCAATACTTTCAGTTTCCTGAAGAGCAACTGCTAGTAGTGTAATCTGGAAAATGCAGTTAAAAAGAGCCTCAGGGTATCTCCCTTATATTGACCATAACTGCAGGATTCCCTATTATTTCAATGTTCCACCCCATCTCCTGTTTTATAATACTATTCATTACAACCACCAGCTCAGGAAGAAGAAAACTGTGATACTTGGAACATACTGTGACACAAGATTAAAATGTTTGTACCACAGTCCTATATATACATGCAGAAGCAATTAGTGGTGATGGCAAAACCTGGGCTCATTCACCATCCACCTTAACAGGGAAGCTGAAAAGTACAGGTCTCTTCTAACACCTGAGGAGGACATGAAACCCACTAAGACAGACTGGAATTTTGATGGGGAGGCAGGAGCTCATATGGACCACATTTTCACTGTGCTGAAAGACTACAAGTTTTCATTCATCTTAAACATAACTTCTGTTTTACAGTTTTTTTTAATATGTTTGAACACAGGAGCATGTTGCCCTGGGAGGTGGTGCAGTCTCCATCCTTGGAGATATTCAAAGTCTCAACAGAGAGAGAATCTTGAACTCTAGCTGACCCCACTTTGAGCAGGGGAGGGTGGAGCAGATGACCTCTCAGGGCAGCAGATGTGTCATCAGCCTCAGCTATTCTGATTCCCAAACAGCTCTGGGTTGGACAGAAGTTTGAATGAATGAACAGGACAATGAAAATCCTTGGTGCTGCAATAATCATCTGTTTTATGGCACTCAGGTGCAGAGGTAAATGGTTATTACAATGCACTTAAGAGTTGGATCCATTTCAGAAGCTGAGAAAGTAATTCTTATCTGTTTTTTTGTTAAACCTTTTCAGAAGGAAAGGAAACCGTGCAAGTTTATTATTTATTTTGTTACTTCACATTAGTCTGTATTTCTTTGGATGAAATTTTGCCCGACAACTTTAAAAAATTGGTTTTACAGAATTGGCATTTTTACAGAATAAGTGTCATTGATATGGGCTACTGTTTTGATTTAAATCTACTACTTTTATAGCTTAAGCAGTGCCTAACAGTGCTGACACAGCTATGTTAAGATGAAACTGGGATAGATGTCGCCAGGATGTTCCACGTACCAGGAATCCAGATGCCTTTCCTGCTGGAGCTCAGCAGAGCTCTTAGTGCTGCCCTCAGGAGAGGTGAGTAAGGGCCAGGTCAGCCCTCAGTTTATATTATTTAGTTCTCACTAAACCTCCAAGAGCAGCAGTGTTCCAAAAAGCTTATTAGAATATATCAGCAGTGGATAAAAGAAATTTTGTGATAATGGATAAAGTTCTTATAATCTCTTAGAAAAGTCCCACGGTTCTCCACAAAACTTATCTAATTGCTTTGTCATTTGTGCTTGTTAGTGTTTCTGGAAAGCCACTCTGAGGAGTCAGAAACAGCATTTGCAGGGGGGGAGGTGGAAACCAAAGGGTCCCTTATGAGGCACACAGACCAGCAACTCATTACGGGACTTTCAGTACCTGCCAGGCCTGTACCTCAACCTGCAGTGAAATACTGGATTGTTCCTGGCATTTACAGTGACAAAACCTGTGCCTGAATTCTGGATGACAATATTCTTCCTTTGGAAAGAGCAGCCTCAGAAAGCTGTCTGTGTGGAGAGTGGTGAATGTGCAGGAGCTGGCTCACTTTCTGCACTTATGGAAACCAAATAAATGCCATTCTAGCTGGTGCTGCAGTTACATTTCAATGATCAAATTGCCCATGCTTACTAAAGCCTTTTCTTATGGAGTTTGCACTCAGCAAAGACATTATAGGTGATGTGCTGGAGAAAGGAACAGCCAGTTCTGGGCACAGTATCACAGAGATGAGACTTAATCTGTACTTGAAAAAGCTGCATTAGACATTGACCTGCACATTTATGCAGGTACTTAATTTTCCAATCCATGCCTGCAAATTACATTTGCCTGCTGCTTAGTTTGGGCAGCTGCAACTGCTCTGTTTCCTTGTTCAGGGAAGAGGGTTGTACTTTACAAGGAGAACTTGGAAGCTCTCAAGCTGAGACAATCCTGGCAGTTTGACCAGGAGCAAACAGAACACTTCATGTATCTTGGCGTAAACAAACACTGCCCTCAGATGTTCCCTTTCAAAACCAGACACGGAGGGGTACGGAGGGGGTTCTTGCAGTCTCTTTGAAACTCTCAACAGCTCAGCACTTGGCACGTTAAAAAAATTTACTATTATAAAATAAATATATAATCTACACATTTTAAGAAATAGCCAGAAATTGTAAGAACTCATTAAAATTTGTTCTGTGTCTGTACTGTGGACCATGTTTAGGCTCTGGTTTTATTCACTGAAGATGAGTTAGCCAGCTGCTCCTGCTGTTACTCACTCCAAAGGCACCTCACCCAGCGACTGTGCAGCCAGCCACAAAAATTGGGGTGAGTGTGTTCTGCTGCACCCCCAGGGCCCAGGGGATGGGCCAGGTGTTCCCCTGAGACACATGTGGGATCAGCAACCTGGGATGGCTGCTGAGAGAGAATCCCCACTGCCCTTCCACCAAAACTCGTCTGGGGAAGGACAGGTCTAACTTTGTGTTGGTGATTCGTGGAACAGCGGCCTGTGAAAGCTGCCTTGGAGTGCAGGGAAGTGTAAGTATCTTCAGAAAGCAGCAGGCTGCCAGGTTTATTTGCACCTTTCTCTCTAAATTCAACTCCGATTAAGAGATAAGTGCATTAAGAAAAAGTGACTTCTTAATTAAGAGAAATTTGGGAAATTTTGTGTCTCCAGAGGAAAGAATAAAGCTTTCAGTATAGACTTTGTAGAGAGCTATCTTGATAGAAAATGTAACACAAGTTGTTCATAAATACTGCAGCATATATTTAATTATTTTCTTGGTTTATAGCAACAGAAGTTCAGATAATGTAAATATTTAGAAATAATTCTGATTTCAACACAACCTTATTAATTGATTTCTCTTATTTTAATAATTGATATAGCACATCTAATTTTTAGTTAAGAACAATTTGTGAAACAATTCTGGTCATATTAATCAACTGCTGGCTCCAAGATAATGAAATACTTACAGCCTCTGGTGGGTTAGCATGGACTATAAAATGTGCTAAATTAGAGACACCAAAAGCTTGAAATAGCTTTTATGAGGTAGCTTGAGGGAAAACCGAAAATCGTTTGTAGGAAATAGCTTTTATCTACCATTTGGCATTCATTTTGCTAAAGCTGTAGATTACATTTCCCTTTGTTAAGAATAAAGAAATAAACAGGGATTAATTTATGCAGCTAAGAGATTAATGTGAGCATAAATCTTTCCGTTTAATAGAAATTCCTCCCATTTTAATTATTGATAACAGTTCAACTTGCTCAAAAGGGGAAAAAATAGCATTTTAAATTTATTCTGCTTCTTTTACTCTGCACTTTTTTATGGGTGAGGAAAAAGGACTACTCCTGTTTTTCTCTCTACCCTTTCTGATTCCCCTGCCCAAAGGCATCGGCAGCATTGCTTTCTTACGGAAAACATCCAAGGAGGTGGCTACATTTCTGTACCTCACTAACAATCCTGACTGAACTGCCCACCAGGTTCGCATCTCCATTTTCACCCGGAGCAGGCAGCAGCTCTGGCAGGGATCGATGCGCTGTCCCTGCTCACTGACACGGCAGCACTGACGGGGGCACCGGGGCCATCCCGGCTCTTCACGGGGCGCGGAGCGGGTCCAGGGAGGTCCCACGGTGACAGCCGGGCCAGGCGAGGCTGCGGCCGCTGCACTATCTCGGGGCAGTATGTGGGTGCACTATGTGGGTGCACTATGTGGGTGCAGTATCTCGGGGCACTATGTGAGTGCACTATGTGTGTGCAGTGTCCGGGCGATGGGCCCGGCCAGGTTGAGCTGAGCTGAGCTGAGGGGTCAGTGCCGCGGGCACACACAGCGCTGCTTTCACTTTGGGCGCGCAAATGACGCAACGACGCCCCCAAAATAACTTCGCGTCACCTCTCCCCAGTGTTTTATCTCTTCTGCTCGCGAACTGCCGCGGCCTGCGCGGCCCCCTCGGCTCTCCGGCGGGGTCAGAGCTCCCCCTCCCGAGGCACCACGGCCTCGCTGCTCCCCGGCACCGCTCCCGCTGCCCTCGCCGGGTGTCTCTCCGGGGGACGCCAGGAAGGAAGCGGCGGGGCGCTGCCTCCTGTCCCGGCAGGGGCGCTCCGCCGCCGCCCGGCTCGCAGGCAGGTACCGGCCGCGGGAGGGCCGGGCCGCCCGGGCGGTTCCAGGCGGGGCCTGGCGGGGGGTGGCGGAGCCGGGACCCGGTGCAGCCTCCCCCGCGGGTGCTCGGCGCTGCGGGCGGGCGGGGGGAAGGCGGCGGGCGGCGCTGGGCGGCCGCACCGCATGCGCAGGAGGGCAGGTGTCGCCGGCAGCCGAGGAGCCGCCGGGAGCATCGCGGCAGCTCCGCGTCCTCATGGTGCTGTGTCAGGGCGGAGAGGGCGACGCTGCTCCGGCAGCGGGCAGGCAGGAGCCGGAGGTGCCGCCCGGCCGGGAGGACGGGCCGGGTGCGGTGCAGCCGTGCCCGGTGCCCGGCGTCGAGGCGGCGGGTGCCGAGGAGCGCCGCGCTTGTGGCTGCTGCTCGGGCATGTCCTGGCCGTTCTGCTGCGAGGCACCTGGTGAGGAGAGAGAGTCGGGCAGGGGGGCAGCGTCGTCCCGGCAGGGCTGCCCGCTCTCGGGGTGACATTGCCGGGCCACGGGGGATGAAGAGGCGGCCCGAGGGCATCGGGCCGTCCGCACGTGGCGGCGGGGCGGGGAGCGGCCTCGGGCGGCTGCAGAGGGCGCCCGGCATCGGTGCCCGCCCCGCCGGCGGCAGGAGCCGCCTCGCCGCTTCCGAGCAGTCCTCGGCCGCGGCAGCTCGCACCTGGTGCCCGCGGGTCACCTGCCAGCGGGTTCGGCCTCGCCCTCGTCCTCCCGTCCTCTTGAGCGGACAGGCCGGCCCCGGTGAGGGAATCAGCGGGCCGGCAGCACGTCCTGCTCCGTGCCCCTGTGCCCTGCGCCTGTGTGCCGGGCGCGGCTCGGCCGGGTGCCCGGTGCTCCCCGCCCCGGGAGCGGGCACAGCGCCGGCACCGCTCACCCCCAGGGCCGGGCGGCTCTGTCGCCTTTGTGAGAGCCTCGGGAGCGGTTATTCCTCGGGAAAACAGTAGTTCCTGTTTTTAAAGTTTTAGAGGCTTGACAAGTTTGGATAAATAGAGGTACCTTCTGCCTGTGTGAACTTCTGACACTACAAATGCATTTGAGAGCGCGCTTTAGGTGGTCCACGTACTTGGGACTATGACTTCCTGATAAAGCCACAAATTGATAAAGCCACAAACGTGTTGGGAAATATGTAACATGTAGGTTTAAAGTGGAGTTGTCTTAAAACATAAATGCCACCTTGAAATAATTTCTGAAGTTATCTGGAGTACTTTTTTTAAAACAACTTCACTGAAAATGTGTTTGTCATTAAAATGACTGTAATTGACTTTCCAGCAGAAAATAGATTTGTTGGTGAGCTGTGGAGAGGCCAGAGTCCTTCATCAGTGAAATTCACATTAGTGTCACTTACAAAGCAAAGCTTGGGGGAAAAAACCCAGTGTTTGAAATCCTGAGAAACTTTGATTAATTAACCAGAAAGAGTACTTCGGGTTTGGGTTGTCTGCCTCACAAAAGTGTTGACTGAGGTGATGACTGAAGACTATGAATCACCCCTAGATCTTGTCTGCATGACCATGATTAGTTCCAATGCAGGCTGTTGTGCTCCTGGCACTTTACACAAGTCAAAGAGAGCTCTTCTGCTTTTTATAACCTGGGGAATCTTCTGCCTTTCCTGAAGGTCTAAGACAATCATCTTCTCACTGACTATCTTTCCCAAAGCCAGTACTCTTCTGCCTCTCCTGCTATTCTTGAGATTCTTGTATGTGAGAAGTGTGATTTTTTTTCATTGCATGCATTTTGCAAGTGTAAAACTGTTTGCAACAAAGTACAGCATTAAAAACTCAATTAGAATTTACAACTAAAACAGGTCACAGTGGGTGGCATTTACCTATGACTTAAAACAGAAGTGGAAGATTGTTTGAAAGTATTATGTGTGGAGATGGCCAGGAAATAAAACTGGAAAACTAAATCTGTAGCCAGTCAAAAAAAGAGGACTTGGGTACTGCTTGAAATCTTTTGATTTTCAAGCTGCTACATTCTTTGAAACAAGCATGAGTGCTTGACTGTTTTGATGGTGTTAGGCTGGTATTTTGAGGCTTAATGTTTTGTGGGATGGGAATGTTATCTTAATGTAACTTCTCTCTAAAACTTACTTTGAAATAAGTACTCTTCAGAACTGCAGTTCTTGTTTTTGGTGGAAGAACTTAGACCATTTTATTTTTAAAAGGAAATAAAACACTTTCTTATTGCGCTAAGTACATGCTTTGGCAATTCAAGACGTTGATGGTTTAAATTCTAGTATTACAAGATTCTAAAGATTCTGGTTTTGATAGGCTTGGTCTATTGGGTAGCTTATAGAAATTAGTTCCTGCTGATTTTTGTTTGTTCCTTACAATCCAAAGTTTAGTTCTGGATATAAGATCCTTTCAGTATATTTTGCTTTAATTTGATTGGTTTTCCATTTCAGCGCTTCCTTTATTTAGGTTGGCTTCATTCTGTAATAATCAGAGAAGCTATCATGCCTGAGATAAAAGTTAATAGTTCTGTTTGTGCTGTGTTCATCCATAAACTAGCCTGGGTTTGGATTTCCCGTTTCAGTTATAAGCCAGTCTGATTCCTCTTGTTTCAATATTAGTGACTGTTAATTTTGAAGTTCTGTTATGTGACTGTGTGGATTAAGGCATTACGTAGTTCATGGACACTTTTTAAACACTTTGTTTCATAGTTGGTAGGTGTCCTGGTCCAGTGTTGGTTTGTGGTAGTTTTTATAGTCAGTTTTATGTAAGAGGCTGTTGCTAAACAGAAATATTTCAAGTAGAAGCTGTAACTCTCAGCTGCAATGTGGCAGGATTCCTTGAGAAGTAAACCTTTTGCCTACTTCAGGTTGTGGTTGCTGTTGTAAAGCCTGGGTCCCTAGGACTCCTGCCTGCAGTCCTCCCTTCTAGGCAGTAAGATGCACTTTCTCAGCCTTGAGTGCTGATCTCAAGGAAGATCAAAATGGTTTGTGACAAGTTTTGTTAATTTAAAAAAAAAAAAAAACTCTCAAAACCATACTTAGTTGCTAAGCAACTCACAGCAGTATCCAGCTGATGGTGTTTTGGAGGATCCATAAGGCTCACAGACTGCCACACTATTGTGAGATGAGGCACCCTTTTATCAAAGCACTGCCTCTGGGACATGGAGTTCTTGCTCCTATCTTTAGAGGGAGTTGCAGAAGAAAAGGTAGCTCCCAGTGTTTTATGCAGGTAGAGAAAAAAGAAAGAGGTAGTGAGGTGACATCCCACTCAAATTTTTAGATGGGCTCTGTTTTCCTTGGTGTTCACCTCTAGGTTCAGTGGAAATACTGTTCCTTTTATGCAACAAAGCAATAACAAAAAAGGCTGTTTTCTTTGGAGATTGCTGCTGCTGACTTCAACACAGTTCACTGTCTCACAGTTCTCCCTCTCCTTGCTTGCTTTTTTTTTTTTTAATCAGTGTGGAGAAAATGAGTGGAACGAGGAAGAGTATGTTGTTGAAGAGAGCCTGAGGCAGTGAGGAAACTTGAATAGAAACATTAGACTTGGGAAACTTTCAGGAAGGGGAAGTCTGACAAATAAGCATAAACTAAGGTCTTCATGGAATTATGATAAATACCAGGCCTTTGATGTTCTAACATTTTCTGCTTAAAAATCTGTATTTGATGCCTATTTGAAGAAAATATTTGGATTCTTACAGCGAGATAAAAATGTTATCGGTCTTGGTCAAATTTAGGGTGATTTAGTTGCAAAATAAACATGAGGTATAATAAAAATGAACTTCTGTACAGAGATTTTATATTGTGTATTTGTGAGAAAGGAAATTAACTTTTGCTTAGGAACCTTAGTTAACTAAGCAGCTGATTCCCAAGATAATAGTTTCAGAGTCTGACCATGGACTGTTTTGTAGTCAGTTACATTTGTTGGTTCCTGGGCAGAATTGTGACTAGTCCCTATATAAATCACCCGTACTTGTCTGATATCTACAAGAAGTTAAGTCTGCCTTCTCGTGTAGAACTGCAGTGTTATGTATCTCTGTACACTGCAGTGTACAGAGCTCTCTGATCAGAAAAGTCTTCTAGTAGATCCTTATTAACTGCAGTTTTATCTGTTGCAGGGGCAAAGAAGAAAGCTGCATGCCCAGGACTTGGTCTGTTTTATACCATACTGTCTGCCTTCCTTTTCTCAGTGGCCTCTTTACTTCTTAAAAAAATAGAAGATGTACATTCAGTGGAAGTGAGTGCATTTCGATGTGTTTTCCAAATGGCATTTGTTCTTCCTGGTTTAATATACTACAAGTAAGTGTAAAAAATGTTTAAATTTCAAGTTATTTCTTAAAACTAGATCTAGAATTATCACTCAAATATGATTTCAATTCAGTGGTATTTTAGTTTGGACGTCAGTTGCATAACTGCATTATTTTAGATTAGTTGGTCGTTTCTTAATATGATTCAGAAAACTGAAAATCCTTGACTCCCTGAATGGTAGAGGCTTCTACTAGGATTATTGTATCAAATGCTTTGATTTCCACAAAGGGCTGATCTTAAAAAAACAGAAGATAATTTGTAGATACTATTGGGTTATTTTGGAAGTGAAAAATTAATCACTAGAAGAACAGGTTCTGAACTCTGAATGTGATTGGGGGTCATGATGGAAATAAGCTGGTCTGTGATCAGACAGTTAAGAATATTTGGGTATTAAACTCCTTTGACTAGAAAGGTGTATACCATACTTAAATATGTTTGGATGTTAGTCATGAAATAAGCAAGGTAGTGACATTAATATAACATTTCTGTTTTTCAGAACAGGGTTTTTGGGACCAAAAGGTAAAAGAATTTTTCTTTTCTTCCGAGGATTCCTTGGCTCTACTGCAATGGTTCTTCTCTACTACGCTTACCAAGTCATGCCACTAGCTGATGCCACTGTTATAACTTTTACCAGTCCTGTTTTTACATCATTGCTGGCATGGATCTTTCTCAAAGAGAAATACAGCCTTTGGGATGTTCTGTTCACTCTCTTTGCAGTCACTGGAGTGATTCTTATTGCCAGACCACCATTTCTGTTTGGCTCACGTGTCACAGGGATTGAAGGAAGTTACTCAGATCACCTTAAAGGAACTATAGCAGCGATTGCAAGCACGTTATCTGCAGCTTCGACTATTGTTATACTAAGGAAGGTGGGAAAGTCTGTGCATTATTTTTTGTCAATTTGGTATTATGCAGTCATTGGATTAATTGGATGTGTTATAGCATTGTTTGTTTTGAATGAATGGCGTTTACCACATTGTGGTAGAGATAGGGTTTTTCTAATATTAATAGGCTTGTTAGGGTTGGGGGGTCAGATATTTCTCACAAAAGCATTACAGATAGAGAAAGCTGGACCTGTGTCAATAATGAGAACAATGGATGTGGTGTTTGCTTTTATTTTACAAGTTCTTTTTCTCAATCATATACCAACTTGGTGGACTGTGGGTGGTGCCCTTTGTGTAGTAGCCAGTAGTTCCGGAACCGCCATTCGTAAGTGGAGACACAGTGTGAAAAAAGCTAAACAGAGGGAAATCTAACCATGCAGACACCAATTCACTACAGAAAGAAGCAATCTTGGAAGAAATATAAATACAATATTTATTTTTATTTATTTAAATATCCAATTTACCAAATTGTAGCACCAAATTATATCCAGTAAAATAAGTTGACTTTTTTTTAACCAAAATCGAAGATGTTTCAGCAACTGATGAGGTATATACTTTCTTATATTTAGGCGTGCTTATATGGGCAGTAGAAAGATACTTCAAAGATGTTGCTTCCTTTCAGAAGTGTACAATATTTATTTTCCTAAAGTTCCTGGCTCTCCACTTAGACTCTATTTTTCAGAGCAGTGGAAATAAGTCTCTCAGACTTAATAATATTCTGTGCTTGATTACCACAGGGATTGCAGTACAAAAGTTGAAAGAGAATTAAGAGTTGATAATCCTTAAACAACCAGCTCTTATAGAATAGATAAAACTTGTACTTCTATAAGCTTTCTAATTATTATTTTGCACAAAGAGATGCCAAATGTGGATTTAATTTGGATTCTAAAAAAAACAAAAGCAATTTCATTTTTCCAAGTAATATCAAGAGAAAATTAACTTGGGAAAATTACCTATCAGCTTTGCTTTTTTTAAAAAAAGTATTTTAAGTGTTTGCACTTACTTCACAGATATAGTGAAATAACCTAATCACCTATTTTTTTCACAAGTGATTTTCCCTGTAAACATATCTTTAGTTGCTGCAGTCTCAGTGATGAGAGACAACAGTTAATTCTATACCACACATAAATTAGCCCTTTCTTCTGGTAGAGACTGCTGTGCTGTAGCTGCACTTTTCTTTATTCTATGCAAAAGATTATATATTTTAGGTATTTAATATAGGTTATATTTAATGCTGCTTATGACTCTTTTCAGATCCTTCTATACAAAAGTTCTTTATGAGACCAAGTTTGAGTCTCCTTTGCCTTCATAAACTTAGAAGGATTTACATTAAAGCTTTTGCTTGTTTCCTAAGAATGTACAAGAGTGCAATGTAATTGCAGTTTCACAAAAAATGCAGGTTGGCCAAGGTCATACCGAGATTCTACAGAAGAGATTTGAGGAAAGCTTGGTGGAAGGGTGACACTATGCATACAAATCACATTCAGGCATCCACACTGCATCAGACAGTCCTAGTGGGCAACTTCAGTCCCACTTCTCATGCTGGCCCTTTTGAGTCTGCATTTATCACTTCTCTTGCACATCTTCTCATTTTTGTAGGCTTTAGTTTGAATGCAACAAATACTAAAGAAAAATAGTTTTATTACTGATCTTGGTGTCTTTCACATTTCAGGAGGACTAAGTGTTTAGTATTAGGAAGTGGAATTTTCCCAGGTTGAAACTTTTGGGTCTTATCTCAGTAAAGTTTAAAGAAAATTTTTATTGGAATCTTTATTTGGTCCTTTGTATCTTGAGGAGGTTTTCAGTTACTTACTCAGTCTAATGTTTTTCTAAAGAGAATGTTGTCTTCTATACATTTGATAGATGTTTTTTTCTAAATCACTAAATGTGGTGGACTTTTTTTTGATTTATAGATGTCTGGTCACATGTCTTTTCCTTTGCCAGTTAGCATTGCATCCTGTCAGGGCAGATCCAGGGACTTCAGTCCCAAAGGCATAGAATGCAAATAGTACTTTAGGGTCAAAGTATCATAATACACTGAGTCAGAAAGGGCCTGTCAGAATCATTGAGTCCAACTCCTGGCCCTGCACAGGACACCCCAAGAGTCACACCACGTGCCTGAGAGCATTGTCCAAATGTTCCTTGAATCAGATAGTCTTGGTGCTGTGACTGCTTCCCTGGGGACCTTGTTCCAGTCCCCAGATATCCTCTGGATGAAGAACCTCTTCCTAATATCCAGCTTAAACCTCCCCTGACTCAGCTTCAGGGCCTTTACTTGAGTTCTGTCACTGACTACAGGGAAAAGAGATCAGCACCTGCCCCTCCACTTCCCCATATGAGGATGCTGAAGACCTCAGTGAGGTGTCCCCTCAGTTTCTTCTTCTCCAGGGTGAACAGACCAAGTGACCTTAGCAACTCCTCATAAATCTTCCCCTGCAGACCCTTCACCATCTTCATGGCCCTGCATTAAGCTCTCTAATAGCTTAGTGTTGTTTTACCTTATGGCACCTAAAACTGCCCCCAGCACTCAGTGCAAGATGCAGAGCAGAGTGGGACAGTCCCCTCCCTCACCCAGCTGTGCCCGGTGCCGTGCCCAGTGCCGTGCCATGCCTGGTGCTGTGCCTGGTGCCGTGCTGTGCCCGGTGCCCCACAGGACACGCTTGGCCCTCCTGGCTGCCAGGGCACTGCTGACTCTTACTCACTCACCTTGCCATCCACCAGGCCTCCAAGATCCCTTTCTGTGGTGCTGCCCTCCAGCCTCTCATTCCCCAGTCTGTCTGTTGCCCCACGCCAGGTGCAGAATCTGTCACTTGAGCTTGTTAAACTTTGTATGCTTGGTGGTTGCCCAGCCCCCTCTAATTTATCAAGGTATCTGCAGGGCCTCCCTGCATTTGGGGGAGTCAACAGCTCTTCTCAATTTAGTGTCATTGATATTCCCTGATATTCCTTGGAGTCCTGCATCCAAGTCATTAATGAAGATGTTGAAGAGAACTGGGCTGTGTCTGGAGCCCATTAGAGACTGGACCCCTGATGTCACCCCATTCTCTGTAACTTTCTGTGCCTGACCCGTGAGCCAGTTGCTCGCCCATTGTGTAACACAGTTATCCTGCTGTGTGCTGGACATTTTGTCCAGAAGGATGCTGTGACAGTATCAAAAGCTCTGCTGAAGTCCAGAAAGATTGTGTGTACTGGCTTTCCTAGATTGACTAGGAGGTTTGACAGTCAAGACTTGCCATTCATGAAGCCGTGCTGGCTGGGACCAATGATTTTGTCCTCCAGGTGTTTTTCATTACCTCACAGAAAAACCTTTATCTATGTATCTGGATATAAGGAGCTGTCTTTGTCCAAGTTTCTGTAGGTAAAACCTGCACCCTGAATCTGAATGTTTTTATGGATATGAGAAGATTCCGTTTGAGTGGTAGAACTGATTCCTGCTTACAGCTGTCTGTTCTCTGCTTTTCCTGAGCACTGAAGCTCAGCTACTGCTGACAAGGTCAGGAAACTGCTTTATTATCTCTTAAAAACCTCACATAATAATAAAAGTCCAGTTTGGCACCCTTTTTGCTTAATACTTGAAACTGAACTGGGATTGTTTTTCTGCTGCTTAACCATCACTACCATTGAGAGCAGCTTTCAGGGGAGGGAAAGAAAACAGACTGCATTTTTTTCTGCTTCACTTCATGTGTAATATGCATGTGTTTGAATTGCCACTTATAAAGGTGTGGTTCCAAAGCTGTTCAGATTGATGCAAACTTGGATTGTCAGCTAGCCCTGCTCTCTCCTCTTGGCTCAATGCCTATGTGGTTATGTGATGAGCTACTCCTGGGAGCTGATCCAGTACATATCTTCTTAGTAAGAGTGTTGGAGAGGGCAAAACTGGAGTAGCCTAAACTTGATGACAGTATAAAAACTTCAGGAAGTAGAATACGGTAGTAGTTTAAATTACATTATATGAATGCTGCTTTGTCAGTACAGAATAAAAATTATGTGGAAGCTTACATTAAAAAATATCTTTAGTCCGTGTGATTTCAATCAATCTTGTTTACACTTAGTAGAGAAAACAGGTTACTGAAGAAAAGATTGTTATCTTGTCCTTAACACATAAGTAAATGTAGAAAATATGCTACATGAGCAGAAGTCAACATCTAGGTATAGTGGTTTGTAGTTTTTGTCTCAAGTTCTAGCAGAAACTCCTTAAATATATTTCTTGTGCCAAAACCCCCAGATGATTGGTTTTTTTTCTTTGTTCAAACATACAGGGTTTCCTTATGGCTTCATCTGCTTATTTCCTCTTGCTGTTCTTAAACCTTGCTAAATATTTAAGTTGTTAAGATAATAATCTAAACCAGATCCTGTGTTGGCAGATGTATGTTTTGGAACATTGTTTGGATTTTGATCGATCTTTTAGGGAACTGTTTAACTGGAATGAGAATGAAAGACTTGACTAGGGCTTCTCTGTCCATAAAGCATGACAAGCTAGTTTCTCTAATTGGCTTTTCTAGATAATGTTGGGAATTAAAGACATTTAAGCTTTAAGTTCTTCAACCACCTCAATTTTAAAATTTTTCTTCCTCTCAAATATAGGCAGAAAGCCTAAATATTGGTTGCAAGCCTTAAAGATAATGAAACTACAGAAGTGTGGATACAATGAAATGCTGGGGTTTTTCAATTGAAAATATTTCTTAAAATTTCTGTTGGGATGGTAAAACTTTTCTTTAACAGTTTGAGAATCTGAAATGAAACTGGCTGAGTCTTGATTCTTTTAGATTTTGATCTTCTTTAGCTTTTTAATACAGCAGGTTTCTCAGGGTCAAAAGTTATTTTTCTGAGCTTTGAGTCAGAAATATATTGATGTTCGTTGTCTGTAGTGTCCTGCTGTGATTCTTTACTTTATAAATATGCTATTCTAATAGCAACTCCTTCCTAGGTAATATGATGGAATATTGTTGCATTGCAATTGCTTTGTTATAATGTTAAGTTTCTCTTGAATTTCAACATATCCATTCAATGTTCTGATTTCAGTGGATTCTGAATAGAGGGAGTAATAATTAATTACTGGTTATTTTGCACTGAAACATAGGGATAAAAAGATTTAATTGTCACTGTTGCATCATAAGTTTGGTTCATGTGTTCTTTACTATGCAAGACACTGTAATTGCTGGTGGTGAGACTTTGTAGCCTTAATGCCTTATGTACCTAACTCTTCTATAGAAAGCTGATAGCTTTGTACTGTCACTGTGCAGCAGCCAATTTCTTTCAGGTTCAGTTGGTTGTTCAAAGTATGCTCTAAAAGCCCTTTAAATAAGGGCTTTTAAATAACTCTACACCAAGAATTTGACAAGCTCATTGTAGTAGACAAGAGTGGTCTATATAATTAAAATGGATTTCTATCTAACACTAGGCATGAAATAACCTCAACTTAACAGCATTGGTGATATTACTAGTTAAATGTGTAATTTTTATTCTGAAAACAGATTCCCAATTCCAAAAAGTGGTCGAAGATGACGCTTCTCAGAATTAGTAATAACAAAATGGATCGTACTTCCCTTGATCATAATTTAAAAAATTAACAACTACTCCCATGGTATTTTCTCTTCCTTGAGCTTTTGTTTTAAGAGCTGTGTGATGGAGGTTTTATTTCTAGGGAGGCAGGCTCTTTTGAAGTTATTTCCTTGCTAACTAGCAGTAGAGAGTTTGTGTTTTAGTTCTCTAACCGTGATTACTATGGCAGGCTCATCTGTGGCATCAGCCCCACCAGGGTAATAAAAACATTGTCCGTGTCCCTGCATGGATTCA